GTGATCCGCATTTCCTTCCGACAGCATCAGAGAAGCCTTCCAGGTTAAGGGTAAGTGCCTGTAATTTCTTTATGTAGCATTCATTTATATTCATGGCTGCTTGTGACCTACAGTACTGTGCAAAAATCTTAAGCATAAAAAAAATTTCAGTAACCAGCGGACCGATCTTGTTCCACAGCATCTGAAATGATGTTATGGTCATTCAGAAATGCCCGAGCAAAGTCTGTCATCAAAGGATTTCTGTATAATTGCCTCCCAGAACTGTTAAACGACTGCGTTCCCAAACAGCAGCATCCACCTCCGAAAGCAAAACCGCATTCACTGTGCTTCGTCTGCTCGTTCTGAGGTGCAAGAAATTTATTATACAGGAACATTATTATTCAGTAGCTTCTCCTACTTTTCTTAATGATGTAGTGCCAGTTTATCAGGAAGTGATGGTTTTGTTCTCTTTGACTCGTTGGATGGAAACGGTGCTTGTTCGCAAATGTTTTGTGCGATATTCCGATTTTGCGCACAAGTTAATTTCGCAATTTTGGATGGAAACCCGCGGTCAAGCCAGCCGCGGTTGAAATTTGTGTTCGCGCGTATTACCATGATTACGGTAATCCGCAGGAACACACAGAGAGAAGGTGCTTTCAGAGCACTTTTCATTTAGACGCCCAGAATTGAGATATAATATAACAAGATGACATTTCTCGATTTCTTTTTTTGTACTCCTGCTTTAATAGGCTATGCGTGTTATTTATTGGTGTTTTGACGGATGTGTGTTACTGTATTTTTCGATCTTTCAAATCATAGCAGGATTCCTAGAAAAAGATAAATGGGAAATTATTCGATTTAGAGGGCTACAAAGACACCATTTCTAATGAGTAGAAGATATTAATGGTCAGTTATTATATGGGACGTCCCATATTATATGCACACATCATATCAAACCATTTTACTGCAGCATTTTTGAGATATGGGACCATACGATGCTTTAGATGGCTATAAAGACCCCATTTCTAATAAGTAGAATAAATTAATGGTCAGTTCAGTAGAACACTTTCTATGAAGCCCGTATTTATAATAGATTATAAAGGTATTCTTAAAGGGGTCATATGATGCGATTTTCAAGTTTTCCTTTCTCTTTGGAGTGTTACAAGCTCTTGGTGCATAAAGAAGATCTGTAAAGTTGCAAAGACTAAAGTCTCAAATCCAAAGAGATATTCTTTATAAAAGTTAAGTCAACCACGCCTACCTAAAACGCCTCGTTCTAACACGCCCCCACATATCTACATCACTATGTGGGCAGATTTGCATAACGCCGCCCAAATGTTCACGCAAAGAAAGAAGGCGTAACTTTTATTCTCACTGTAGTATTGTTGACGCTGCAGCCATGTCGTGAAGGCGCTGTGTGCTTCGTTGTGAAAGCGAAACTACTTTGTCTGGTCTTCCAAAAGAGGACGATATCCGCTTCGTCATGCTGATCGTAGAGCTGATCTGTGCTGGTCGATTAGGGAATACGTCAACTTTCACCGTGGACAAAGCGTAGTCCAGCCCAGGGTCGTCACATGTGGTTGCCGCTCATTCGTCGGATCTGGCCCATGTGTGGCCCTTGTCTGGAATCCAGACCTGGTCCACACTAGTACCGCAATACATTGCGGTATGTGGGCCAAGCAAAAGCTGGTTGTGTGGGCCGGAGCTGGGCCAGAGAAAAATTGCTATGTGGGTTATAAGTAGTAATGATAATTTCTCTCAAACAGCCATAAAATCAGATATCAGATCAGATGAATGTGTAATATGACACATTTGCGTTGAACTATTTTTATTGTAATATCAGTTTTTTGATGTACCCTTTAGACAGCTGTTGATAAGTAACTCTGCAACTACATATCAACTAGCGGTCATTAGAGTATTAGTATGTTTGCTACTGTAAATATATGCTAATACTTTATTTTGATGGTCAACAAACAGATAAACTGACTATACGTGTCTTTGCAAGTACGTCAACTTATTATACCATTCTTGAGCATACTAATACTCTAATGAGAGTTAGTTGGCATGTAGTTGCTTATAGTCGATTGATTAAGGGGACCATCAAAATAAAATGTAACCATGTAAAACATTGCATTTTTTTCAGTTGGAGTATTAAGCTCACATATATTAATTAACATTAGCTCCACAGGAAACACTCAAATAACACTCAACATCTAACCACTCACAAGCTGTAGTACGATACTGTGCAGATATTAAATAAACAATGTCAAGATATGATACAGTCCATTATACTGTAAATGAAGTAGATTTAATATGGTGTTCATGGTGTTATAAATAATCATACTCTTAAACTTATAACCACAAATACGTAAGTATTATGATGTATTATAATTATGATGTGTTGTTATGATTATTCATGAGTTGATATAACATATTATAAGTTTTTTTTATTATGCATTCATTATAATGCCTTAAGAATACCCTTATAATGTATTATAAATACAGGCTTTATAGAAAGTGTTAATGTCAGTTCTAATGCGGGACGTTCCATACTATATGCACACCTCATATGAAATCATTTTACTGCAGCATTTTTTAGATATGGGATCATATGGCACTTTAGCGGGCTATAAAGACCCCATTTCTAATAAGTAGAAAAAAACCAATGGTCAGTTCTTATACGGGACATCCCATACTATATGCACACCTCATATGAAATCATTTTACTGCAGCATTTTTTAGATATGGGATCATATGGCACTTTAGCGGGCTATAAAGACCCCATTTCTAATAAGTAGAAAAAAACCAATGGTCAGTTCTTATACGGGACATCCCATACTATATGCACACCTCATATGAAATCATTTTACTGCAGCATTTTTTAGATATGGGATCATATGGCACTTTAGCGGGCTATAAAGACCCCATTTCTAATAAGTAGAAAAAAACCAATGGTCAGTTCTTATACGGGACATCCCATACTATATGCACACCTCATATGAAATCATTTTACTGCATGACAATGTGATGACAATGCACAAATTAAAGAACACAGACGCAACATCTCATTGTTTATAATACTACGAATAGTAATTATAATGAAATCAATTTCAGAAGTATTAGAGAAGCTCATTTGTGCGTGATTGCATTTTGGAGTCTTTGTTTCCATGGCAACAGAGTCTCCAGGGGCCAGTTGCATAAACTTAGCCACCATGTTAAGACTATGTCTTAAGAACTAGTTTGACCAAATAGCAGTTGCCAAGGGGTAATCAATCTTACTCCTCCAGTACAAATAAGACCAATCTGCCTTTTCATTATGGAATGCAAAAAGTTAGGACCAGTCTTGAAGAAAAAAAATTAGATGGCTAACTTTTAAGACTAGTCTAAACTGTTTATGCAACCGGCCCCAGAACGCGAGCCATTAAAGGCCTTTCACGCGAGCGCAGCATGCGCTAAACCTACACTGTTTAAAACATCTAGAGCTCACATCTGCCCTTTGAACACAAGACTCTCCAGATGTAGAGCTGAATGGGAATGTTATCAATGGGTCTGTCCAGTAACTAATGATGAACGCGCTGTTTGCAGAGAAGCATTTCAGTTGCTCACGGTGGACTGACTGACTGACTTAAAGGGATAGTTCACCCAAAAATGAAAATTTTCATCGTTTACTTTACACCATACATATCTATGGTTTACACACCCACAAGTTCTTCCAAACCTGTAATAATTTCTTTCTTCTATTGAATATAAAAGATGATACTTTGAAGATTGTGGGTAACCAAACAGTTTCTTATCCCCAATGATAGTATAGTATAAAAATAGTGTTTTTTTTTTTTCTCTACTATGAAAGTTACTGAGGACAAAAAGCTGTTTAGTTACCCACATTCTTCAAAGTATCTTATTTTGTGTTTAACAGAAGAAATAACTTTTTTTTTGGGTGAACCATACCTTTAAAGTGACAGACGCATCCGTGCTTATAAAGGTATAGGCCTATTGTTTGATTACAATTTGGATAGTCTGTTAATATAATATTCCATACACTTTCAGAGCTTGGTAGACATTATTATATTTTTAGACCTGATTAGTCAGATTAATTAATAAATTATAATGAATCTTATTAAATTATTTAGATAAAAATGGGACAAATAATTACACAATGTAGTCTTAATTTAAGCAAATTAATAAAAAATAAAAAAAATTCATCCCATCCAGGTAACAGCTGCAGAACTGTCAAAAAAAGACTAATAATAATTATAAATCCAATTTAAAATAACAATACTGCTCTTTTGTTGATTTTGATTGCTTCCATTGTCCTCATTTGTAAGTCACTTTGGATAAAAGCGTCTGCTAAATGACAATGTAAATATTAATGTGTTCTGTTGCAAGTTTTCATACTTGAACATGTTTTTGCATGGTTTATTGTTGAGCTATGAGTTCCTCACTGATTATTTGTGTCCTTTTTTGTGAATGGGTATCCCTTATTTTGCCTCGCTGAAGGTGGCAACCCTATTTGGAGTGGTAGTATTATACGTATATTAATAGGGAAGAGGGGCCCAAAATGTTATTTTGCCTATGTCACAATAAAAGGTAAATCCGGTCCTGGATGTAAACTCAAATAAGACATGGTTTGCTGATAAAATTTATGCTAGACCAAGTTAACTAACAAATATGAAACATGCATTTAAATTAAACTATTGTACATTTGAAATTGAACTAAATTGCCAATATGATTATTCCTGATAACTTTTTCTAAAAAGGCTATATCTAAATATGATCTTTCTTGTCCCCATGTCTGAAGGTTGGATTGGTCTCCAACAAAGAAGAAACAACATCATGCATCAACATTCCTCTTCTGTACACCAGTGAGTCAGTTAACTACATAACAATTTGTGTACAAATACATAACAATTAGTCATTAGTAATAATTAAAATGGGACCTTTGAATATACCTTGGAATTGCATAGTGTGCAAACATACTGTATTTACATAATGGTAAGCTATTCACACTTTCAGATAAATCTTTTTTCTTTTTTCTATGGAGAAAGCAAATGGACCCATTACCATTCTTTGTAATTATGTAAATCTTTTTAGATTTCTGTTTATGCAATTATGACAACATCTCCTCTGTTTAATAGTACACCAGAAAATTAAAGAAAGTGCTGCCACATCCAGTCTTCAGAAAAAGATTCCTTGTGCGGAGTAAGTATCTGTATAACCTTTCTATCTATTGCTTCATCAGCCAGTAGCATGCTACAACATTTTATTGACACAGAGTGACAATTTCACAGAAGCAATCAATTCATCTGTATTAGTGTGCCACTCAGATATTTAATTTGGTTGTGGACTTGATGGGCCCTATTAGAAGAGCGACAAATGATCAGTGCAATCTAATGAGGGCTTGATTGAAGGATTAGTTCACTTTCAGAATAAAAATTTCCTGATAATTAACTCACCCCCATGTCATCCATGATGTTCATGTCTTTCTTTCTTTAGTTGCAAAGAAATACATTTTTTTGAGGAAAACATTGCAGGATTTTTCTCCATATAGGGGACTTCTATGGTTCCCAAAGGTTTGAACTTCCAAATTACAGTTTCAATGCAGCTTCAAAGGGCTCTAAATGATCCCAGCCGAGGAATAAGGGTCTTACCTAGCGAAACGATAGACCAGTCTCTGTTATTCTGTTTCCACCGTAACGGCGCTGGTTCTCGATATACAGCACAGCAACGATTTTATAGATAAAATAAAATGTAAACAAACCTGTATTTTACCGAAGAATGCATCAATTCGATGGCGCTTAGAACTGCTCTCTCGTGAAGAGAAGATGAAAAATCTCTGCGATTTAAATAACTCAACCGCTGGGTTACGTCTGACCCAGGATCTGAGTTACACAAAACTACCCAAACATTGGATTATGTCTGACCCAGGAGCTGCAAAACAACCCAAACACTGAAAAAATAACCCCAAAAAAATGACCCAAAAGGCTCAACCCAGCATTTGGGTTAAAAAAAAATAACCCAGGATTTTTTAGACTGTAGCTCACAGATGGCAGAACTCATCCTTTTTGTTTTCCCCACTTTATAAAGTATTTTACTTATGAAATTAAAGGGATACAGTAGGGTTGGGAGTAGATTTTGTAGTTATTTACCATACAATAGTCCTGTATTTCATGGTATAATTTATTGGATGCTTCACTAAAATCTGTTATTTCATACTCTGAGATTAGAAAGCAGCACAAGAAGCATTGTTTATTGATCATATCCGCAACTATTAAAAAAATGGCATAAAGTACTAGGCCTTGGTGTTACTTGTAGTTTTAAGAACAAGACCCACAAATTCGTGGCCACGTAGAAGAACAGAATATGAATGCAATGTGCAAAATCTCTCATTAAGCGTTTTCCTCCAGTAGAAAGCCATAAACACTTAATAGGGCTTAATGAATTAAGATATTAAAAGACCAATTTCGATTTACAGTTTATTAATAAAATGTACTGTAAGACAAGCAGATAGCCAGTAAATGAATGGAACGCACAAGGTATCGCATTGTTTTCTGCAAAACACATAACAGACCAAGATGATAAAGACCAAATTCAATATACACCTCATTAATCAGAATCAGGAAGAGCTTTATTGTCAAGTATGCTTGCGCATACAAGGAATTTGTTTTACATTTACATTTACATTTAGTCATTTAGCAGACGCTTTTATCCAAAGCGACTTACAATTGGGGGATACATAAAGTGATTCTTTAAGAGGCAAACAGACACAAGAAGTGGTTGTAATACCAAGTTCTTAGACATTGTTCAAATAAGTACAAGCTAGAAAGAGAAGGAATAAATAGTTTTTTTTTGTTTGTTTTTTTTTATATGATGAAATCAAGTAGCTTCGAAAGAGATGAGTTTTCAGCTGTCGCTTGAACATTGTCAGGGATTCAGCATTCCGGATAGGGGTGGGAAGATCGTTCCACCTGCCAGGAGTGGTGAACGAGAATGTTCTGGAAAGTGATTTTGAGCCTCTCTGTGATGGTACCACGAGGCGTCGCTCACTAGCGGATCTCAGACTTCTGAAAGGGATGTAAATTCGTAATAGTGAGTGGAAGTAGGTGGGTGCTGAGCCTGTGGCTGTTCTATATGCAAGCATCAATGTCTTGAACTTGATTCGAGCCGCAACCGGTAGCCAGTGCAAGGAGATAAAGAGAGGTGTAACATGGACTCTTTTGGCCTCGTTGAAGACCAGTCGTGCCGCTGCATTCTGAATCATTTGTAGAGGTTTGATTGTGCTTGATGGGAGTCCAGCCAGAAGAGCATTGCAGTAGTCCAGCCTAGAGATGACAAGGGCCTGGACAGTGACATAAGTTTTAGTGACATAAGCTTCCAGTACACAGACAACAACAACACAGACAATAAAAAATAGCAGCTGGATGCAGTCTTGATTGTTCATTTGCTAGATGGTGTTGCAGCATTTTCTTCCAGGTTGAAGTTGCAGCAGTTTCTTCCGGGTTGAAGACTGATGAACTTCCGAAGATGTTATTCTGACTTGGTTGTGGTTGGGAGAGTTCTCTCCCAGGTGGAAAATTGCAACATGGCTTGTTGCAACTAGTCCTTCTGGCTCAGAATCAGAAAGAGATTTATTGTCAAGTATGCTTGCGCATACAAGGAATTTGTTTTAGTGTCACAAACTTCCAGTACACAGAGACAATAGCAACACACAGACAATAAAAAATAAGATGAGAATAAAAAAATACACATGTAAATATAAATAGACAAATATTGAAAAATAGATCGCAAAATAAATGCATTGTATGTACAGTTGTGCTATAGATGATCGAATGGAATAGAATAGAATGAGATGCAGGGATGTACTAGGAATATAAGGTTATTGCACATTTTTATTGCATAATGTGGGGAACATTTAACTGTTCATGAGGTAGATTGCCTGGGGGAAGAAACTGTTCTTGTGCCTGGCTGTCTTGGTATTTGCGACTCTGAAGTGCCGGCCAGATGGCAAAAGTTCAAAAAGGGGATAACTTGGATGTGAGGGATCCAGAGTGATTTTCTGAGCCCTTTTCCTCACTCTGGAATGTATACAGTTCTTGAAGGGTGGGCAGGGTGTTTTGAGCGTGTTCAGCTCCAGGTTGTTAAGACTGCACCAGACAGTCAGCTGCTCAACCTCTTGTCTGTCGCCATCCTGGATGAGACCGATGACTGTAGTATCATCTGCGAACTTCAGGAGCTTGACAGAGGGGTCTTTAGAGGTGCAGTCGTTGGTATGGTTGGGAACCGAGAACCGGTTCTGTTTTTTTAAAAGAACTGGAACCGTGAGCAATTTCTAAGTTTTGGTTCCGAAAACGGTTCTGGTGTGACACGTGACCAAGCGCTGTGAGCAGCCTTGCGCCGGCATTTCCCGTAAAGGATGTCACAAACCAAATAACAGAAATGCCGCCCTGCCTCCTTAATTACTGAGCACATTGTTTCCCATGACATGCACTCCACAGACGTGCCGAACTTTAACTTTCTTTTAAACTTTAGCTGCCGAACACATCGTTTTCCACGACTGTAAAATTGCCCGTTGTTGTCTGACTGTACGTGTACCGGCAGCACGCAGCTCCTGCCGCCACTAAATTACATTATATTTGTCCCATATTGTCATTAATAAGTGAAAAGTGACGTGACATGTGGCCAAGTATGGTGACCCATACTCGGAATTAGTGCTCTGCATTTATCCTATCCAAAGTGAACACACACACACCCGGAGCAGTGGGCAGCCATTTATGCTGCGGCACCCGGGGAGCAGTTGAGGGTTCGGTGTCTTGCTCAAGGGCCCCTCAGTCGTGGTATTGAAGGTGGGAGAGAGCGCTGTACATTCACTCCCCCCACCTACAATCCCTGCCGGTACGAATATACATATAATGTATATACATACTGACTTCAACTTGGACCACTAAATAAATAGACTGCTAATGTTATGCAAGTATGATGGTTAGATTATTTAGTGTACAGGTCATTTCAAGAGTGATAAACAAAGTGATAGAAAATATTTTCATGCATTTTAAATGTTTAAAAATGTGGAAACCACTCATTGCATCACACCATCTCCTGACTGCATTATTATTTGTAAAATAGGGGCTTTATGCAGTGTGTGTATACATGGTTATAAGTATAATATTTAATTAATTTAGGGAAATGAACAAGTGTCTTAGCCCTCAAGGGATTATTTGGCCAACCAGTTTATTCCTGCTTGAAAAGCTAAATGTTATTGATAGTGTAAAAAACATCAACTTTGAAGCACATGCATTACCCAACATTACTTACTACATTCAATTAAGGTTAAAAAAAAAGTTCATTTAAATGGAACCGGGATCGGAACCGGAAAATTTCTAACGATACCCAACCCTAGTCGTTGGTGTACAGGGAGAAGAGCAGTGGGGAGAGAACACATCCCTGAGGGGCACCAGTGTTGGTGGAGCGGCTGTTTGAAATTAATTTCCCCAGTCTAACTAGCTGTTGCCTATCTGTCAGAAAGCTGGTGATCCACTGACAGATAGAGCTAGGGACAGAGAGCTGAGTTAGTTTGGTCTGGAGGAGTGTTGGGATGATGGTGTTGAAAGCCGAACTAAAGTCCACAAACAGGATCCTCACATAAGCCCCTGTTTTGTCCAGATGTTGCAGGATGAAGTGCAGTCCCATGTTGACTGCATCATCCACGGACCTGTTTGCTCGGAAAGCAAACTGCAGGGGGTCCAGTAAGGGTCCAGTGATGTCCTTCAGATAAGCCAGAACCAGTTTTTCGAACGACTTCATGACGACAGACGTTAGAGCCACAGGTCTGTAGTCGTTAAGTCCTGTTATCTTGGGTTTCTTTGGAACGGGGATGATGGTGGAGCGTTTGAAGCAGGAAGGGACTTCACACAAATCTGTTGAAGATCTGTGAAAAGATGGGGGCCAGCTGGTCAGCACAGGTTTTCAGACAGGCTGGTGTCACGCCCTCTGGGCCTGGTGCCTTTCTTCTTTTGTTCTTCCTGAAGACCTGGTGCACATCATCCTCACTGATCTGAAG